TTCCCTCTCTGCCTGACAAGCCTCTGGCCCCAAATTGCCTGTGAGCCTACGCAAATGCTTACGCAGTGGAAATCAGTCATAGCTTGGCAGAAAATAGACACAAGCACTCAGCGCTCAGAAGGTGGCAAGTGAACTCAACGAAGTTTGCCTCCAAACAGGTAATGGAGGTTTGATCTATTCCGTCAAGCCTTGCAAGCCACCCCACCCCCCAAAGTCAAGAAAGAAACAAAGAACAATTATCAACATGAGCGCAAGACGCACGCCCAAACGGGCATGTCTGGGAAAAACACAAGCATGTCCCATCGTGGCACGAGAAATGGACCAAAGAAAAACACCTTCGTCATGATCGGTCGCGAACCCAAACTCTGTGCGAGGTTGCCACATGTTGCCCGGCTATATGTTTCAAGAAAAACCAAATGAACCCACCCGCTGTTGGGATTCCGTTACAGAAAGCAACTCCACTCGAAATGATTGACGTTGATCTCCCAAACGAGTCTCAAGTCAAAAGGGAGACTCCTCCACAAAATGTCTTTGGGTACCGGTGGCGCTCCAAAACCGCGAAAGTGAGCGGCTGGCACTTGGCGCGGTTCGGCGCCTCCGCTTGCTCCTTGGTGTCCAGCTTCTGCAGGCGCTGCAGCTCCTGCGAGCGAGCGCAAGACCAGAGCTCAGTTCTATCTATTGGCCAAGTTTCAATCCGCTCCTCAGGAAATTGGCGCAGCCCAACGCCCTTTACCCCAACCGCCTGGTCTTGTCTCAACAATGGGCTGCTACGCTGCACGTGGCAAAATGGCCATGGATTGCACCTTGTTTCGAGTCTAATAAAAGCGCACTGGAAGCTGGACACCCGGCAAAACCACCTTATGTCTGGGCTCTCGCTGGGCTTGTTAAATCCCAGACCCTGCGGCTCCAATGTCCATGGCCTGTTAAACCCCACATGGAAGATGCCCAGAAAGCATAAGCTTTAGCCACCATATCAGTATCTTTCGGGCGGCGGTCTAAGAGACTGCACCTGTACTTTCAAAGGGATGAGACGGCACAAAGGCGCCCTGCAGTGTGCAGGTTGGAAAAAGGGAACCCGTGTTTTTAGTCAAGACTACTTCCAATGCAAACATAGTTTGGAATGGGAAGTGTCCTTTGGGCGTTCCTTTGAAAAAAACCCGCAAACAGGGGGCAAAGCTACGCCATGCTCACTTTGGCCTTTTGCTTGGCACTTGCATGTAGCTCGGCTCCTGTTCCTTCTCCTCTGTCTTTGCCTGAGCTGCCCTCAGCTGCTGCTTGGTTTGCTCCAGCTCTTGCTTCAATGCCTCCAGGCGACACCACAGCGTGGCCACTTTATGATGTAGACATTCAGTCTGTACCATGGCACATGAAAAAAATGGATGCATTCTACAGGCAATGTGAAAATGTCAGCCTGTGGCAAACCAAAGCTTGGTTGTGCAGCGTCGTACCATTCAATTTTTGACGTGCCAAGCATGGGATGTTTTGTCACGGAGCTGCGGTAATCATTGACATTCCTCAGTGGTTCCTACCATTTTGCGGCGTTCACTGCATGTGTCAGCCACAAGACACATCAGGGAAACACACCTCAGTTGTTTGCCAATACCAAGAACCCGCCATGCCGTTCAGCACAATGGCGAGCTCTCTCTCTCAAGCTAGATCGACGCTTAGAAGATCGGAAAGTACAACATGACAAACAAATCAAGGTTTTAGCAACGCCCACAAATCTTGCGCTTGCGATGCTCTTTGTGCCGAACACGAACTGCGCTCGCCGGGTACAGCGCGCCTTCACTTCCGGCGACTCCCCGTGGAGCTCTTGGGAGGGCTGCGCTGCGTACTCATTCGTCGTTCCCAGCTCCTGCGCTGCCTGCGTGAGTCGACTGCGGCAATCCCAAAAAAGGCCGGAGGCCAACCAAGTCCGAGCCCGCGAAAAGGACACCTGCTTTGCAAGCAGTTTCGACTTCAATGCATCATGACATGATGTACACGGTGTGATCTAATGTGAGGCTCGGCATTACATCAAAAGCATGCCGAGATTTTGCAAGCACGTTTGTGTCGCATAAGTTGGTAGACCATGATTTGTGCGAAGGTTAGCTTAGCGCATCCAAGTCTTGACATGCGATGACATAAGCACGACAGAGAGCGGAATGCCGATGCAAGTGAAGCCAGCAAACAGACCATGTTTGGCACATCAGCATCTAAATTGAATGATCGTACTCGTCGCAAAACTAACCCTTTCTTCCTGCAGGCTGACATTGCCTTACAAGTGTGACGTACCATGTACCGATATGACAGTATCAAGCCATATTGACATGATGAAACCTGACCTTGTGTGGCGCGCGTGACGCAATATCATAGAATGGGTCTTGTCTAAACAGTAGTTCAAATTGCAGCAGTCTTTCACTTGACAATATCACAGACACATTGCTCTTTGCATGGTTTGCTGAGCGTTTAAGCAAGGTTGTGTCACCGTTTTCCTTTCGAGGGCTTCCACTATCAAGGTACCATCCGCTTGCTTTTCGATGACGGGAGTGGTTTCAGATTAGGCGCACCCTCTTTGACGTTCTTTCAAGCTTGTCTCCTTGTGCGCGCGCGAATCACTGCACCTTGTTCATAATAAAACACATGCAACTCGCATCGTGGTTGCAAAGTGTTTTTGCCGGCGTGTTCATTTTACAGTTGTTTGTTTGGGGCCATGTTGAATCGTTTACACTCACCTCGTTGAAACAAAGGCTCTGTGCGCATTGCAGCTTGTTCACCTTGCCGTCTTCTCACTCTGCCTTCAGTGATGCCTGTCTAGAAGAAGTATGGTTGCTAGCCTCCATCCGCTTGATGTTGAAATAATTAGCACAAAGCAACACCTACGACATGATGTTGCTTTCGTGGTTCAAAAACATGATCTGCAAGGGCACAAATTGTACGTGCTCGCTAAATGTCCATGCATAAATGCAAGTACTATGACTAAACTTATAGTTGAGCAAGCTCTTCTTACTCAAGCGCTTGGTTGCTGTGCTTGCGGAAACCACACACACTTAAAGAGGCAGCCCTCTTCTCCACTGCCACCGCTCAGCTCTGGACTGAAACTGCAACTGCATGTTGCCCAATGTCAAAAGCACAATCTTCAAGCCCACGCTGAAATTGTACACCGGCTGCATCAAGCGTCATACCCGAAGCCACACAGCGTAGGCATGACGAGAAAGCCAAAGAAACCCCCCAAGGGCCCCGTCACCCTTTCCTGCTGCACACCCGTCCATCCACTCCATCCCCTCAAGCCCTCCACCCCCTGACAACCCCTTTCCACACACATTCATGTTTGCTTCTGTGGCGCCTCGTCAAAAAAAAGATCCAGGAAGTCTTTGACACCTGGGCGATCGCTCGGCTGTGAGGGACTAGTTGAAGCACAGCAGGCAAGGGAAGCGCACTGGTAACGAGGCAAAGATGGAATATGGTCGATCATCCAAAGGTGTTGAGCAAGCTGAAACTTGCAAATGCAGCATGTGGCCTCTCCCACTGGTTTAGACCAGCTTTGAGCGTCATGTTGCTGCCATCTTTCAAGGGTATCATCATCCAAGGCATCAATACAGCAAGGCCGGCCGAGGCGCTGATTTCGGGCTTGTCGCCAATTTCCTCCGAGGCTTGTGAATCTTGAATCGTTTGGAGTTCCCGCCCCAGAACCTCCCGAACACTGCAGCACTTGTGGATTTCTGTCTGGAGCGAGATCACTTAGTGGCTGCGGTTTCCTAACTTTGATAGTGCGCTCGAAGAGACAACTTGGCTAAGCGCATCCAGATGGGGATGGTTTGGACAAATTGTAGGCTTCTTCTCATCATGCAATTCCATATCATTTTGCGGGTGCAAAAATCAACCCCGCAAAGCACATTCGACAAGGCTCCTAGGATATTCTGGATGGTACACAGGGAGTATGGTGACAAGACTCAGACCCACGTAGGTAGTGGCTTCATTAAACTTAGAAAAATAGGAGTCTGGCAAAAACAAAACTTGAAGCTCACTCATGCCTGGCATCCGTCAAAATAATGAAAACACAACAAAAGATGACAAACACAATGCTGGGCGGTGACAGGCCCTGCTTGTGTCCTGACCCAAAGTCGCCCAGCTATCAATCGAGAACAGCACAAGACTTGGGCTTCACCAATCATCGGAAGAGGAGGCAAAGCAACATATTCGCTCTGCAGTGATCAAGAAAAAGGTCCCTGCTCCGCCACTTCTCTTTCCTGACTAGCCACTGCAAGGCTGCTTGCTTCTAAAGCCTACGGTGTCGCCATCTAGATATCCGACACTATAGGCCAACAATAATTTTATACCCGCAAGGGGTACCGCCGGAACAGTTGCCTTCGGCCCGGCCAGCGCCATTTCTGGAAACGTCCGGAAAAATGTCGGGCTCGCTGGAGAGCTGGAGGACTGGAGGGCTTAAGTTCGGGAATGGGTCTGATCCGATGAAATCTTTCAACACTTTCCAGGGCCCGGCCCGCTTTGAATATCCGATTTGAACTCCAGCCCTGAAGCCCTGAAGCCCTGAAGCCCGGCCCGCAGGTATGAAAACATGTCGTCGCTGAATCATGTATAGTCATACTGAGGGCGCATGTTCCCCTCCAAGTTGCTGCAAGTTGCCTTGGGCATTCACAGGCATGTTCATGCGCTGCTGCTTTGTGGCAGCAAAGCAAATTCCCACAAACAGCCCGTCAATGTTTGAAGATAGCTCTAACGCACTTGGACAGAAACCAACAAATGGGGTGGCCTCAGTATGTTTAAACTGGTGCGACAAATCCCTTGCAAACGGTGCGCCCATCCATTCCCACCCATTCCCGGAAGCGCTCACATCTTGCCAGCTCTCCTTCAGGAGATCGGCAGCTCGCGGTTTGCCAACGAGCAAGCACATCAGGTCGACCCATCCTCAAGCGTCCGATTCGCTTCAAGTGGGCGAGCTGTTTGGGTGAAAAACGATTGGCCTTTTGTCAGAGCCTGAGCAGGTGGATCGTGGGCTGCTGAGGGGTTCGTGTGGTGGACAATTCCAAGCAATCATTGCAGTCTTCATGCAATACTCTCCCCTCCATATGGCCCATCGCCACTATCCGTGCCAACTCTGTCTCGTGTAGCATCATCAAGTGAAAACACAGTGCTGGCTCATTCAGACCAACTTGGACATCTGCAATGCATTCATGAAAGGAACTGCTCCGATTCCGTGAGCCCCAGCGGAGTTCCACCCGCGTCAACATTGCAAAGCTTACTCGAAGAAGCCTTCTCGAGGTAAGGATTCTCCCACCGACTTCAGGAAAATGGCCTCGAGTTGGACCCGCTTGTCCTGGGCCACGCGTGGCCGGTGACTGCATCATGCCGTTTTGGCAGCAATACAAATGCATGAACGAACGAACAAACGAACGGAAATAATAAAATTGGGGAACATGAGTCATGAACCCCCCACTCCTCAACAAGGCTTTGGAAAATCGGATTTCGGATGAATTTGAAGGGCCAGGCGGCCCTCAGATTAGTCTACACCTGGCCAGTCCTCTCCAGTCCTTTCCTGTGGACCCCTGTGCGGCCAATAGGACTGCAATAGGAAAGTCAATCAAGTTTGTATTTTTTAGGCTGGAGAGGTCCAGGAATATCAGATGGGGTGTTGTGTTATTGTGGGGGGGGCGGGCAAAAGCCTTGAAGGGGGGAGTACCCTTTTTGTCAAACCTTGTTGTTTAAACAAACTGCAATACAACATTTGCAGTTTCCTGCTAGCCTGATTTGTTGTTTCTGGAATGGCAACCCTTTAGACTACGCTGTATTTCTTCCTTGTTTTGGGCCGGAAAGGAACATTTTTTTATGAGAGGGGGGTTTTGAGAGGTGCACCAACAAATTAAGAGGGGCTAATCATGCGCCCACATAACGAATGAATGAACAAATTAACGAATGAACGAACGAACAAATGAATGAATTAATGAATGAATGAAGGAAGGAAGGAAGGAAGCAAGGAAGCAAGGAAGCAAGGAAGCAAGCAAGCAAGGAGGCAAGCAGGCAAGGAAGGAAGGAAGGAAAAAAAAAAGGAAGGAAGGAAGGAAGGAAGGAATGCAAACAAGCAACCGATTTGATACATGAATACACAAACAAGGATACTGGGGGAGTGAAAGAGTGGTTTGGCGAATGGCATCATCCTGGACATTCCAACGAAATGGCCGCACAACGCCCGCAAACAACACGCACAAAATACCAAAATCGCCAACAGCGCCTGAAATCGTGAAGCGCCCGGGAAAAAGTACGCAAAGGAATATCCAGGACATGAAATAACGAATGACCGAATCAAGGAGCGATCGAATTCATTGGAAAATGAGTCATGAATGCCTGAACCAAACCATGAATGCATCAAACAAGCAGTGCACAGGCGCATAAACAAATGAATGCTTGACTGACTGACTGACTGACTGACTGACTGACTGACTGACTGACTGACTGACTGACTGACTGACTGACTGAATGACTGACTCGCTGGCTGACTGGCTGGCTGGCTGGCTGACCGACCGACTGACTCACTGACTGACTGACTCAATGAGTGGTTGATTGATTGATTGATTGATTGATTGATTGATTGATTGATTGATTGATTGATTGATTGATTGATTGATTGATTGATTGATTGTTTGATTGATTGTTTGATTGTTTGATTGTTTGATTGTTTGATTGTTTGATTGGTTGATTGGTTGATTGATTGATTGATTGAGTTGATAATTGCTTGGTTGGTTGGTTGGTTGGTTGGCTGGTTGGGCGATCGATTGGTTCATTCGGAACCCTGTCCAGGTGTGTCCGAGGGTTCAATCACCGACCTACCACCACCCTCGCACAGACCAGCTTTACGCCGGAAGCAAGAGTGACCCGCCTGCACGTTTTGCTCACTGGCATATAGAGTCAAATGGCTTTGTTGGGTATTGTACAGCGATCTTAAACGAACGATGTGGCGGGCATTCCAGGCTACGAGTTTACGATGCCTGCAATGGACAATAATCATGCCAGCGCAGAAGAAGCGTGCAAAAACCATCCTACCTGAAGCATTGTTTCTGATAAAACCGCTGGTTGGCTGTTGGGTATCTGGCAGGAGCTGCGCCCAATATGCCTTTCACAGAACACGGGAGGCTTGAATAAATATATGCCTGAGCCCTCTGTGGCCGAGCTGGCAAATCAGGACTCATGTCGTCAAGCCCTAAATCCCTCGGTTGGATGATTGACGTTGTTTGCAGGTCACGTTGGTTGCCTTCCTCCGTTCGCTTTTGGGTCCGCCACTTTTGGCCGACCAATCCAACGACACCCAGCCAGCTGATCCCGGAACGACGGCCCCGGCCGCTCCTGGGACGGTCGCGAGTGCGGCTCCTGGGCTCGAGGGCGCGGCTCGAGCAGAAATCTTCCATTGGTCTGAAACCTATCAGGAGTTGAATTACTTCACCAGGGTCAGGCTCTCGAACGAGGAGTATGGCCCAAAGCTGTGGAGTATGGTCCAGAACTTCCAAAGACTTCAAGAAGTTTCCAAATAGATCGAGGCATTGTGAAAACTATGTCCAGCTGAAACGTTACCCAAGCATCTCGAAATCCTTGCGAGTGGTTGAACCTGTACTTCCATCCACTTCAAAAGCCATGACGGTGGTTGTCCATTTAGAAATCCAGCTCAAAGGCGTGACTTCCTAAATTCAGGTTTCGGTTTCGGATTCAGTTTCCAACATCAACCTTTGTGACCTGCGTATGAATTCTGTGCTTCATAACATGAGTTGGTTGGGAAGACCGGCGAGGGCTTCGGTAAAATTGCCTCCACTGGCGCTTGCTTCCACGACAAATCTTTGCTGCCACACACAGACACACATACATCGATGCCGCTTTTGTGACTGGGCAGAGGGCAACGCAAAGGATTCCACCGTTGAACAGAAAGCTATCTGAATTCAGAAGCCAGAAGAATAATGGCTGAATATGGAACATACTCAAAGAATCAACGAGTGAACATATGGAGCGTAATGAATGAATCAAAGAAGCCAGCCGACAGATGACTCATGGTTGAAGCATTGCCAACATCAGTTGCCAAACGCCGACTCTGCGCCGCGCATTCCGACACTGTGCCGACTCCCGACATGGTTCCAATGTTTAACCCACACGCGTTCGAATGTCCCCGAAATCTGCGGGGCGTTGGCTGCTCCTCGCTTACTCAGATGCCCAGCCATGGAAAAAGAAGGGCACCTTTTGTTGTTGGTTGAGTTTAAAGGGGAACCCTTCCCAAACAAAGGAGAATAAAAACACCACTGGGCAAGTGGGCTTACATGCTCCCTAGAAGGAAATGAATTGCTTCGCTTCAGAGCTGTCCTGCGACATGGTCAAAGTGAAGCTCCAGATGGTGATTGAGCAGACCTGGCATCGAGCTTCACCGTCTCCTACCTGCGATGAAATTCCTACAGTTGCCTGGTGAAGCCCTTGAACACTTACTCCCTTGCTTTGACCCTCAGCTTTCCAGCGATCCAGGTTGTGTCTGTTCATCTGTGGGCCTCCTGGTTCCTGAGTCACACAAACAACGGATGATCCACGCAAAACAAGACCATTGACCCACGAAGTTATGCTGATTTCCAAATTATCAGCTGGCGCTCAGCACATTCCACGTCGCGCTTGGCCCGCCTTTGCGCTTCCACCGCAAGTCCCCGGATTCTCTGAGCACCGATGGCGGCAAACACATTCACAACTGTTCATATGAAGCAATTTCGGTGATGTCATGGCGATGTTCAAGAGCAACACTCATCTCGCTGCTGGACGACGCCGGCAATTGTAGACACAGACACACGCACACACATGCACACATGCCCACGCACACAGGCGTTCAGCTTCTGGTTTGTTGCTCAGCCATCTGAGCGCGGCGCCAGGCAGTGCCTGACAGCGTGCAACGTGCCGAGTTTGCACATGGCCAGAGCTCTCGGCCCAGGTGAAGTGGATGGAACCTGACGGCTAGGGGTCCAAGGCCTTGCTTTCATTTTGCCTCAACTATCCGGACTGTGGGCTCCTCCAGAGATGAACCATAGCAACGTCGACAGTCCATGCTCGATGCTTGTTGGATTGATGACGCTCAGTGTGGCAAGCCACAAGCCGCTGGCAAGCCGGAAGCTGCCATTTGTTGCTTTCATTTGCTTTCTACTCGCTGCTTTCACTCATTTCTATTCAAGGGCTTAAACACAAGACTGTGAGGTAACTAGAGTAGAGACTTCCAGGACCTCCAAGGGACGGCCTGAACTTTCAGCCAAGAGACAGGATATTGTCAGGGATCGCCCCGTGCTGAAGCTTGATTCCTGCAGGTTGCTTTCAAGCAAGGTGAGATCGTGTACGCGCCCTTGTTGCACTTGAAAAGCCAAATTTAAATGACCAAATGGCCGAGCAACAGAAACAAACATATCATACCTACAAAAAGTGTCTGACCCCACAGCTACAAAGCTCCTTACGACTGGGCTAATTACTCGGCGAGGCTGAGACGGGCCTCGACATGCAGGCCATGGTGGAGATCGACAGGCTTACCTGCCATTGGTGCAGGTTGTTGCGCCCACTGAAAACCAACAAAAAAACACGGAAATCGCTCCGCTGCTAAGGCCACCTTCCGTCACATGTAAAGGCAAACCAACATGGAACCAACATTGACATTGGGTTCCCTCCCAGCTTCCTAGGGGTCCATGTCTCACAGTTTTGAACTGTTCAGGGCTTTGAAAAACAAGTGTTCCCCTTTCCAAGGGGCTTCCATTTGCGCCCTTTTTACGAGGCTTCAGTTGAATCCAATTGAATTGTCTCTCGACAGGATCGCCGTGCTCAATCTCAACAAGGACAGATTCCTGCGCAACTCGGCACATGCGGACTGCATGAAACGTGATGTCAGTACAGAGTTTTAAGGAATGGGTGCACCTAGGCGTATGGCAGTCGCAAAATCAATAATCGCAGACATGAACCGCCTCAAACGAGCGCGCAACCGCCAAACTGATAGCTCGATTTGGAGGTATGATGCATATCCACCGCCGGAAGGGCAGTGGAACGAGAGGCGGTGAGGATACAACGGAAACAACATGCAACACCAGATGGACCAAATCTCGACACTGACCCAACATCAACAAATTGTTGCATTGCAACAGAACACTGGCGTGCTGAGCTAGCCATGGTGCGGGCAGAAGTAGCTGGTTACACGACTTCTTGGGCAGGGTGCCCTTCGCCCGGCCCGTGAATCATCAGACCAGCAGAAACCGGACCATTGACGGAGTCCTTACCTTTGACACTCCCATGAGTGGTTCCCTGATGCATTGCGCCGTTCTCGAACATGCACGAAGCGACAACTTGCTAGCTGCGAAGGACTTTCTGTCACTCTCTGTAAGAGGGTTCTAATTTTCGGGCTTCCTTCGAAACGAACCTGGCAAGGACTCAATCAAACTTGAACTAGCCTCCTTTGGGATTGGCCGGCCCCATTTCCGGGAACCCTCAACACACACAGCCTTGAGTATACCCCGCAAATAAAGGGCCTGTAATCTTGGCTTTTGCGGATAGCCAGGGATATCACTTACGAAAGGTGACCAAACCTGTTAGCTCACTAGCCAGGCAGCCAACCCATGGAATCAGGCTACTTGCTGCAAGCTCGAGGTTGATGCAAAAAGCTAAAGTCGACAATTGCTTACCTGAGTTCCCCTTGAACACTTTTACAGCTAGGCTTGCTACTCCTGCTCGTTTAATGTTAGATAGCGATTAGTATAAGGGAAGTATTCACTCTCCTGAAAAGCAAAAAGGGTAGGTATTACAGAAAAAAAATCGGCCCGAAATCCCGAAATTTGTTCCCCTTCCAAGAAAGGACTATTTTTGAGGGTTGAAACGTTTGAGTCCAACGCCACGCTCCTCCCAGTCCCAGCAGCTCCCCACGCTCCCTGTCCCAAACAACCAAATTCCTTATCAATCCCTTTACTAGAAGATGCACCCTGACAAATTTTCAAGGGGGTGGCACACGGAACTGCCAGGAAGGCAATAATGCAGTTTGTTTAAGGGTAGGGAATTGTGAAAAAATAATGGCCAGCTCAAAGAAATACTGAACCAATAGTAAACCAATTCTAAACTGTAGTGAGTAAACCAATTCTAAACTGTAGTGAGTCAACTGAAAAGAATACTGAACTAATACTAAACCAATTCTAAACCGTAGTGAGCCAGCTAAAAGGAATACTAAACCAATACTAAACCAATTCTAAACAATACTTACTGGAAGACTACTCAGGCAGGTCCCAGTCTGACCCCGATTTTGTTTTTGGGGTTTTCGCTATTGACCCCCCCCCCCCGATTCGTTTGAGGGGGGGGGGGCCTTTACTAATCACTCTCCAACATTAATATGGTCACCTATCAAAATCAATGATATTCCCAATCTCTCTCAATCCACAAATGCACCAAACAGTGTCATGTGTACACACACACACAAGATCTTCCAGTACTAAAATGGAATCCGGACATTCACCCGAAACCAAAACTCAAGGCACCCATGGGAAGGCATTCTGGCCATTTTACTTCTGTGGACGAAGGCACATTTTCTCTGCAACCCAGGGAACATGGTGGATGCACCCTCCGCGCTTTTGCTTTTGCTTTGCTGGAAACTGTGGGATTTTAATGGGATGTATTAACACCAGAAGATGAATTGTTTAATTGCCCAAGACCTCCAGAGGATTTCTATGGGAAAAAGGGACCCTTTTGTTGGTAGTTGAGTTTTAACGGGACCGCCTCAAAACAAGTTGGAAAAGGGAAGCAGCCTTCTTGGTGTCTGGATCCAGGTTCGAGGAGAATCCACGAACCCCCCCCCCCCTCCCCGGGCCTGCGTGTCGATCAGCGTGCTGTTGCAAGGATCCATGGGAGCGGGTGAGGTAAGTTGTGAGGACGGCAAAGCGCCCACATGGAGGCTTGTTAACCTGCTTAGGATCTCTATGAAATACATAGCCAGGGGTCTCAAAATACTTCTGGGGGAGTTTTGGGGGATTATATTTTGAGCACACAAAAGGACATCAACGTATGTGACAGAGTTCAACCGTTTTTTTTTTAGATTTGCCCAACGCGTAGCTGAGTTGAGCATCTTTGCCGCCTTGGAGGGAGCTAGGCTTGGAAGATTGCGCTTGGATCGTTCAGGGTCAAGCCGCGGCCTGTGTCACCGGTGAACTATGAAGCTGGAAGCTTGCTGTCCTGACGACGGCATGACAGAGTATCCCCAAAATGTTTGAAGGGCAGACTTAGACAGTGTGCAAGAAAATCATTGGGGTACTTTTCAAACATAGGAAGTATTTGGGCCCCCAATCGCTGGTTTCTTTTGCGCATAGAACAGCC